TATATATATATATATATATATAGGGAGAGGTTCAAATAAAAACCTCACTATCCTAAAAACTAAAAACCAATCCTCTCCATTGGATCTAGATTCATCCAATGGCTGAGATTATAAGACTATTACAGCTGCATAAGGGTAAAATTAGAACAATTCACTACATTAATGGTGGCTGGCAACATTGGAAACTGGAGATAATAATTAAAACTAAAAATACAACACGTCCTCTCTCTCCAAAATCACAGCAACTCTCTCTCTGTCTTCAACATCTCCCTATCCACGGTCTTCTTCAACCTTCGTCTTCAACCTTCATCTTCAACCACTGTCTTCAACCTTTGTCGTTGTTAAATTATTTTGACGCTTTAATGGTAAGTTTATGAAATTTGTTTGATTTTTCGTCTAAAAGTTTTAGTTTTAACCTTAAAGATCGTAGCTTTTTGTTGTAAAAGGTGAAATATTTCACCTTTTAGTCTGAAAAGTTTTTTATTTTTTGAAGAAACCAGTTGAAAAACGAAGACACGCATGAGTGAATCTAGATTCACTGCAGTGAATCTCGATTCATAGCAGTGAATTCAGATTCAGTATGTGAGGTGTTTGTTTTTTAGCATAAAAATCGTAATTTTTTGCTGTAAAAGGTGAAATCTTTTCATGGTTTAAAATTTTATAGCTTGTTTTTTACCATAAATTTCTTATTCTTTTTGTTTAAAATTTTATAGCTTGTTTTTTACCATAAGTTTCTTATTCTTTTTGTTTAAAATTTTATAGCTTGTTTTTTACCATAAGTTTCTTATTCTTTTTGTTTAAAATTTTATAGCTTGTTTTTCACCATAAGTTTCTTATTCTTCAATATAATCCAGATTCAATGGAGTGAATCCAGATTCACTCCAGCGAAAGCTTGGATGGTTAGGATGGTTAGGATGGTTTTTAATGAATTGTTGAAGAAATAAATGCATGTGCTATAATTTCGAAGAAATAAACGCATGAGTGAATCTAAATTCACTGCAGTGAATCCAGATTCAGTTATGTGAGGTGTTTGTTTTTTACCATAAAAATCGTAACTTTTTGCTGTAAAATGTGAAATCTTATCATGGTTTAAAATTTTATAGCTTGTTTTTTACCATAAGTTTCTTATTCCTTTTTGTTTTTTATTTTTGCAGATTTGCTATTGTTTGATAACGAGTTTCAGTTCACTAAATCTGGATTCAATTCAGTGAATCTGGATTCACTCCAATGAATCGAGCTTCAATATAATCCAGATTCAATGGAGTGAATCCAGATTCACTCCAGCGAAAGCTTGGATGGGAGGAGCTCGGATCTGGGTTGTTTGAAGGTGGCGAAGGAGATGGAGAGGAGGTTGACGGCGTCGGGTCTGAGGGAGCGTCTTCGGTTCGTCAGAGCGGCTTCGGTTCGTCGGAGGGAGCTCAGGGGCAGTGGAGTTGGAGGAGCTCGGTGAGGAGTTAGTGGTGTTTGTGGTGGTGAGAGAGAGGAAGGAGAGAGAGAGAGAGAGAGAGAGAGAGAGAGAGAGAGAGAGAGTAAAACTTGTGTCAACTTAAGTGGACGTCCACTAAGTTTCTTACCCATTGATGATCACTTGATTGAGCTGCTTTGTGGATGATCCGCTCCGTTGAACTTGATCTACATATTCTAAAACACCAACACACCAAATTTGGGTTGAATCCGTCATGGTTTGACCCTTCATCCACTCGTATCAATTTTAATGGTTTCAAATGAATAGAACTTTTTACATGGCTCGACGGAGGGTCAAACCACGACGGGTTCACCCCAAATTTGGTGTGTTGGGGTTTTAGAATATGTAGATCAAGTTTAACGGAGCGGATCATCCACAAAGCAGCTCAATCAAGTGATCATCAATGGGTAAGAAACTTAGTGGACGTCCACTTAAGTTGACACAAGTTTTACTCTATATATAGATATATATATATACATATGCGTACGCGCGCGCACACACACTTTTAAGTTTTTACAATAACATTCTTCTTCATATTGAAATCCCAGAAGGTTCACATATTTTATCATATATAAACATTTTTTTTTGCTTTTCTACTGTTAATACTCTTCGTTTCGATGGGAAAAAAAATTTAAACCCAAAAATATGCAAACATGCACCTAGATTACATGAAACAGAGTTTAATTTAAGGTTAAGAATCAGAAAAAACCTTGAATTATTTCCAAAAAAGACCAGTTGAACTTTGGGGTGTTTCACACTCTCCACCTGAACTTTCAAAATTTCTCACGACAAGCGATCAACATAAACTGCGCAATCAAAATAA